TAGAAGACTCATCAGTTACCTTTCTTATGCAGATGTCACAATTGTGCTTGCTGAAAGTGAGGAGGACTTGAAATGCTTACTGCAGAAGATCAAAGACTACACCCTACAATATGGATAACATTTCAACATCAAGAAATCAAAAATTCTCACCACTTGACCAATATGCAATCTCATGATAAAGCGAGGAAGATTGAAATTGTCAATTCATCCTACTTTGATCCACAATCAATACATTTGGTATCAGCAGTCAGGAAATCAGAAGATATTGTGCATTGGGAAAGTCTGCAGTCAGCAATGTCTACAAATTACTGAGGAACAGTGATGTTAGTTTGAGGACCAAGACATGCCTAATTCAGACCATGGTCTTTTAAATCACTTACTGTGCTGCTGCAAGCTGAACAATGAATAAGGATGACAGAAGAAAAAAAGTGATGGTTTTGAGCTGTGGTGTCGGAGAAAAGTACTGAATATTTCATGTACTGCCAAAAAATAACAGATATATCTTAGTGAAGGTGCAGCCAGAGTGCTCCTTGGAGGCAAGGACGATGAAGCTTTTTCTCGCATACTTTGGCTATATTACTGGGAGACACCTGTCTTTAGAGGGCATCATGCTTGGAAAGATGGAGGGGACAGCAAAGAAGAGGAAGACCCTCAACCAGCTGGATTGACAGTAACTGCAGCAGTGGGCTTGAGTGTGTCAAGAGATTGAGAGGTTGTCATGGTATAGGACAGGGTACACATCTGTTCACAGAGTTTTTAGTTGTACTTGACTGGACAATACCTAACAAAAACAATACGCATCTGACAGTAATGAACACTAATAGGTTGGGTGCCTTTGTTTGTTAAGGTAATGTGTTAGCCTGACTGGGCCATAATTATCATTGGTTTGGCAGTTATACAATGATATAATTATCCTCCATTTTGTGATCTGATATGATCATCCTCCACTTCCCCATAATGCCTATTAATACAGTCAGCTTGATCTTTGGAATCTACCCATAAGTGAGGAATGGGTATACATACTTGTAACCTTTGTATTGCAAGGAATACTACATTTTTTAAAATGTGTTTTTATGTTTAGGCAACAGTTCACATAGTAGATTAGGTTGATTTTTAAGAGTTTCTTGTCAGATTGTTCTATAACAGTGGTTATTTTTCATCTCATGTTAGCAATATTATTTATTCTACTTGTTTCCATTAATGTGGCTGCTGTGCCCCACTTTGTCTTTTCGTCTACCACATCTACATTTTTTTCTTTTTACTTCTGTAGTTGCAAAGTTATGTGAGATATTTATTTATTTATATTTAAATGTATTTACCAATAATTTCCTTTATTCTTGTCTGTTTCTTAATGTCTTCATTCACCTTCATCAGCTTACATAAATATTAATTAACCTTTCACATCAGCAAAAATAATAAATGTCTGTTATCTCTAAAATTATTCCCACTTTATCTTCCATCTCTGGTAATCACGCAGAATGTTCACTTTCTATGTATAAATCTATTCTTGGCTTTTTATGAAGGTGAGGTTATATATTCTTGTCCTTTTGCTACTGATTTCACTCAGTATACTGTCCACTAGATTCACCCATGTTATGTTTCACAGACTCTTTATTCTTTTCATTTGAATTGTGTTTCATTGTTTTTATGTACCACAGTTTGTTTCTTTCCATCTTTTTGCTGTTGTGAATAGTACAATGACCATAAGTGTGCACTTGTATCACTTCTCTGCCATTTCCCCCAACCCCATAAAGCTTTTAACATGAAGTCAGGAACTGTTTATTTCAGCACTCTACTGTAGCTTTTTAGAGTAACCAGTTTATCATTTCATTGTCACTATTTCACATAAAGCCATTCATATTTTTTAAATGCACTCTTTTTTCAGAATAAGATTGAAACAACGTGTACATTTCAATACTTTCTGTTTATTCTCCAAATAATAGATGTAGAACCTAAAGTTGTTGGATAGTTATAAATAAATAAGCTCAACTTTACAAAGGCACTCTTATGCCTAGTAGTGAAATTACCGAATTTTAAGTCTACATGTATGTCTACATTTTTTTAAAAATACCATTTTCCTTAATATTTGTTCCATTTTTATAATCCCGTCAATGAGTACTACAAATTTAACTGCTTGGTGATTTTGCTATTCAGCAACTCATACACATTTTGGATAGAAGTTTACAAAGCAGATTAGTTTCCCTTTCAACAGTTTGTGGCCATTTTGTTTGTGGCATTGATAAATCCCCACAATAAAACATCTTTTTTTCTTTCTTCCTTCTTCCTGTGTTTCCAGTTGTCCGTTCTTCCTTCCTATAGTCTGCAGTTTGTCCTTGGGCAGGTTCTACCCTTTTAATCTCAAAGGGTTATTATACGAAGGACAGCCTATCTGTCTAGTAGTCTTGTTAACCACTGGACCTTCTAGACAGTAGTGTTTGGCAGACAGTTGAGCCATGGGATTTCAGTCAGCCCTAAAGGGTGACTTAGTCCCAAGAGTTCCAGTAATCATTACCTAATTAATAAGCGTGGTCTTTTTAATGAGTTTGAGTTTTGTTCTACATTTTTATGTCATTCTCTCCAGCACCCTTAGTGTGTAACTCTTCTCAGAACAGTCAGTGATTGGTAGCCAGACCCCATCTAGTGCTTCTGATCTCAGGGTCATAAAAGCTGAGATTCAATACATCTTTTATTATCTTCACTCTTCTTTGTTCCAGAGAGATACCAATATTTGGACTTTGGTTGATAGCTCCCAAACTCCCACCCAACAACTTTGTATTGTGATTTGAGCGAAAATATAAAATTTGTTTTCCATTAAATAATTTCTGCATATTCTTTTGTGACAGTGATGACAATCCTCACGTTGTAACAGCATACTTCCCACTTCCTTTTTTTTACCCCTCACATTATTATAAATTTATTTTATGTACAATGTGTTATCTTGTTTCTTGCCATGTAGAGGTCTGGGCTAGGCCTTCAAGGAAGATCACTTAATCCAACTTGATAAAGCTGATATCCTTGGTGGACTGATAGTAACACTGGCACACATATTGAGTCCGTATTTCTAGATCAGTCCATATAGGTTTGAGCACATGTGGCAAGAGCAGGAACCCTGGCCACATTTTCGCCAGTCAAGCTGCTGGTGACCCATCTTCCTTGGAGGGAAGCTCCAAGCCAAAAAGCCATACTTCCTCCTCCTCACTCACAAGCTTTTAAGACCCCAGTCAATACTTAGCACATTGGAATGTTGCTGTTGTGCCAGTTGATGTTGAATCTTTTTCAGGGAAATAAATGTTTCACAAATTAGCTTGAAAGCTTTCCTCATTATTTTTATTTTGGATTTCTTTGCAAGCAAAATTTATATATGCTGTGTATTATTCACATATGTTGAGTTACATACATTCCTACATTCACATTGTGTTTCAGAAGATCACTCATGTGCACTGTGTTTTCTAAAATTAACCACCATTGCTTTATGCCTGCTATTACCCCATCTTTTCAGGATCCCATTGGATCTTTCCTAATTCCTTCACCAACACCTACCCCACCCCTACCCCCGCCCTCTCTTTCCATCTTCCCCTTCCCCTTTTGGACTTCTTTTCCACATTAATTATCATCGATTATTTCAGTAATGTCCTTATGCAGTTATTTATCTTTATGAGACCGAGTTTGATCAGCGTAATGCTCCTGTATTCTCCCATGTTAAATAGTATTTTATAAAATCATTGCTCCTTAGTACTGCGTAGTGTGTTCCATTGTGTGAAAGTACCATAATTTTTCAATCCATTTGTTTATTGATGGACATTTGCACAGTTTCCATTTTCTTGGTATTGCCATAAATGTTAGAAAGGATGTGAAGAGATTGAAACTTTCATGCATTGCTGGTGGGATTGTAAAATTGTATGACCACTTTGGAAGACAATTTGGCTTTTTCTTGAAAAGATAAACATAGAAATCCCATATGACTCCACTATTGCACTGCTAGTGGAATATATCCTGAGGAAAACAGAACTGAGACACATAAATTTGTATACCTATGTTCATAGGATTGTGATTCTTCATCCTTTTTTCAACGGAGGGTTTTCAGTACTTTATTATCAGTGTTGTTATTAGTGTTATCCCAGTGTAACATTTTTTTAATAAAACTTACGTTTCTTTCTCCAGTTAATTCATATTTTGGTGGTGGTGTGTACCATCACGTTTGAACTTACCCATAGCTGACCCTCTGGTGGGTTTTCAGAGTCTGTTAATGAAACAAGAGGAGATTGCCCACCTTTCTCCTACAGAGCAGCTGGATAATGTGCCTTAAGGATTGCAGCACAGTTTTTTGCCATTAGGCCACATATTTTCCATACACACACACACACAGAATCTTATATCACCGAATATATATAATAAATTGCTAATGCAATTTGTTATGAAATGTGGTTAATTCAAAATAAAGAAATACATTTTTAAAAATTAATGCTGATTATACAGTCACTATTAGTAGTGTTTCACAGATAATTTTGTTAATTTTCTTTTTTGGGGGGGAAAGGTGTGAGGTTCGTTTTTATAACTTTTTAGTAAGTGTAAACGTTTGTTGATTCAGTGATTTAAACTATATGCTGCAGTAAACACATGATTTATTTGCAAAAGGAAGACTGAATGAGTTTTAATTTTTATTCTTGCTCAACAGTGATTTTGTAGATTTTAAGTTCTAATGCTTTTTTAAACTAGCTAAAATTTCACAGCTGTAAAGATGGTATTGTCAATGTAGTATGACACTTTTGTTTTAAAATTACATAGACCGTGAATCCCAGCACCCACTTTCCAGCTTAAAAGACACTTGCAAAAGGATAGTGTGAAGCCATTAACAGTGGAGCAGAAAGAGCATTTTTAACTTTAAAAATCAAATTGAAACTGGGAAAATGTAAAAAGCAATGAGTTTCTTTGTTTGTAGGTATTTAAATACTTCTAAAAATGTAAATAGGCAATTGACTTTGTTTTTCTTCTTTTTAAAGCCATATGAGGGGTTAAGGCCTCAGGATCTTCGTAGACTGAAAGACATGCTTATTGTGGAATCTGCGGACATGCTTCAGGCACCACTCTTTACTGCCGAAGCCTTACTGCGAGCTCATGGTAATGTAAACAGTATCTTATACTGATGAGAATATGAATGCCTATAAAAATGTTCAAAATTTTAGTAAAATGATTATCTTATTTTAATATTAAAAAATTAGTTTGTTGAACAAACCCAAGTTAATTTTTGTTCAGTGATCATTGTTGTGTGCATAATCCTCATAATGTTTTATATTTTAAACTATAAATTGACTTTAAATCATTAAGGAGGGTCTTTCTTTTTATAAATTATGCTATCCAGTCAGTTTATGCATTGTTTCATTTTAGAGGTAAGCCCAATTAGAGCAACATTAGAAATTAGAATCCATATTTCTAGTCCTCGATGTTACATTTATTTTCGCTAAGTCTTTCCACTATAAAATTGTGCTAGGTCATTTAAATACATAAGAATTGTGGTATTGCTGTTGTTGTTATTATTGTCATTTATTTCATTTTAAAACTTTTTCTCCATGAACTTCACAAAACACTGCTCCAGAGTCAAATGAATACTGTCCCTTTTAAGAGGTTTTGTTTGACGAATTACCAACTTTTCTTACCTTTTCCTGTAAACTTAGCATGATAAAAGTTCCCTGTGATTATTAACACAGCCATTTTCTAATCTAAGCAGCCATATACTGAATTTCACTCTCTCATTATACACTTGATATTTGAATTGTTGCAAAGATAAGTATTTTCTGATTTTTAAAAATTTTTAATGAGAAAGGCAAATAATTAATCAGATCATTCCAAAACTCTACATTTGTTAACTAAAAATCTTTACTGACTACATTACAACTGAATGCTTTTTTAATATAACAAAAAAATTGATTCTATTTTATCAAAAGAAAAATACAAACTCCATATTTTATTATTCCTTCTTAATAATTTGGGTTTGTAACTCTTCATATTAAACTGCTTTCCATGTTGATGTTGCCCATGATTCTCTATTTGACTTTTCCTACTTTATGTCTTCTACCTATGATGTTGTGTATGGGACAGAGTTGAAATTCTAAATCTTTACAGTCACATACTGCCACATCTTTATCTCACAGCTCACACTGCCAACCTTTTGCTTAGCAGCTTTGTTTTGACCTCTACCATGAAGACTTTTTTTCATATATTAAGAGTTCATAAATTTTAGTGCCATTAAGAAGTGCTTGAAATAGTAAACACATACCCTTAGGACTATCGTCAGAGGGTCTGATTAGATCTGGGATGTATTATAAAAATATGTCTTGTAAGCAACCTGCGAAATAAACTGCTCTAGATAACATTGCTCTACACATCTTCTGAAATGAATGACAAAAACTCATAAGCAAAAAAACCCCATAAAAACTGTACCTACAAGTGTAACTCTAATCAAGTATTCTAGGTTGTATTTTTAAATGCATATTAAATATTTTCTCCTTAATCTAAAGACTTGTAGCTGTGGTGCTAGAGAAGAGTATTGAACATACCATGGACCTCTCTTAGAGAGGGAGAAACCAAGTTTCTGCTTGGAGGCAAGGATTTTGAAGCTTTCTCTCACATGCTTTAGGCACATGACCAGGAGAGACATTCTTAGAGAAAGACATCATGCTTGGAAGGTTGGAGGGACAACGCAGGAGAGGAAGACCCCGGATGAGATGGATTGGCACAATAACCGGAGCAGTGAAATTAGGTGTGTCAGAGTCAGTGAGACTTGCTCAGGATAGGGCATGGTTCAGAGCTGCTATACTTCGGGTTTCTGTGAGTCACAGGAGAGTCAACAGCACATAATAATGACAATCTAAAGACATCCACACCAAATCCATCATCTCCCACATATCTTGATTGGAGGCACCAATTACCCTACCCAGAAACTTGAGAGTCATAATTTACTGTTCCATCTCTGTTAGAATTGGTTACAAGTCTCATCACTTACTTCCCTGAATACCTCTCAACGCCTCCCTAAAGCCTCCCATTCCGACTACCTCCGACTTAAATTTGGATTTATTTCTGGATTCTCAGTTCTTTTGCATTGTTCTTTGTCCCTGTTTCTGAACTGGTACTATGATGTCTTGATAACTATGGCTGTATGGTTTGAACTTTAGTAGTATAAAACTTCCTCGTTTGTTTTCCTTTTTCAGTAGAGTTTGTTCTCCAAGGTCTCGTTCCTTTCTATATAAAGTTGGTGATTACATTTTCCATCTCCTTTCAGAAATTATGGTGGGATCTGGAATATACTGTTTCTAAAATTGCTTTTGATAGTATTGCCATTTTCACAATGGTAAGTCCGTGAGCATGATTTTTGTAGGTTTCTTTGGCATTATTCTGGTTTTCTTTGTGTAGATGTTAAGATTTTATCCTCATTATTTCATCTTTTGATTAGCTATTACAGATGGCATTCTCATCCTAACTTCCTGATCAGAATTCTTTGTTATTGTAGAGGAATCCAACTTGGTTTTTATATGTTGATTTTATATCCTGCCACTTTACTGAGTTGCTCATCCAGATCTAGTAATTTTCTTGCCAAGTCTTGGGATTTTCTGTACATAAGATCATGTCATCTGCAAAATAAGTGATGTTTCCTCCACTTCTTTCACTAGTGATATAAAAGGTATTAAATATCACACCCTAGAGCAATTTCCTTCAGATTAGGGCTTTGATCAGATTAAGGGATGTTGTATTCTACCCTTACTACTTTTACACCTCTTTGGTTTATTAGTTCATAAGTATCATTGCATAGCTTCTACATTATATCATGGTGGTTGATTTTACTTGCCCTCAGTCCGAACTCATAGCTGACCCCTCCAGTAGGTTTTTTAGGCTTTGAATCACATGAGAGGAGAGTTCCCATCTTCTCTCAAGAGGCTTCTGGTGAATTGGATCTATGCCTGCCTTTGAATTGGCAATGCAAGTCTTTGTCCACTAGAGCTCCCTTCAGATGAGTTTTTATAAAACAGTTTGTAAGTAAATGCATGTTCATGTCTTTCAAATAATGGTGGTGGTGGTGGTGGTTGTGTACCAAAAATCAGAACCAACCCATAGCTGACCCTCCAGAAAGTTTTTAGAGGCAGTTAATCCCATGGGAGGAGATTGCCCATCCTTCACCCACAGAGCAGCTGGTGGATTAGAACCACATACCTTAGGGATTGCAGAACAGTTTCTTGCCACTAGGCCACTAGTGCTTAGATTCCTAGTTGGTATGGGTTGCCAAAGTTTATAAGCCAATTGTTTTAATACAAGTGCTTCTTAGTGACTTAATTTACTATGGTCAGACTGGGCTCACTATATACACATTTCATGCTGTTTCCCCCCATCATTAGAAATAGCAGATATCCACAATCTAAGTCATGATTCTCCCGCTCCCTTAAACCTTCTTGCCACCACCAGTGAATGTTAGGATGGATGTCGGGGTGTGTGTGTGGGGGCGGGGTTCTGTGGAAAAAGAGCTCTGCTGTAATGACATAGTGGGTAAGGAGTTGAACTGTCAGTCCAGAGGTCCAAAGGCAGGTAATCCCAATACACCACCAGTGAATGTTAGGATGGATGTCGGGGGGTGTGTGTGTGTGTGGTCTGTGGAAAAAGAGCTCTGCTGTAATGACATAGCGGGTAAGGAGTTGAACTGCCAGTCCAGAGGTCCAAAGGTAGGTAATCCCAATCCATCAACTTCTCCAAAGGGAGAAAGATGTATAATCTCCTCCCATGTAATTTATAGCCTCCAAAAACCCTGTGGAGGGTCAGCTATGAGTAGATTCTGACTTGACAGCACTTAACAACATATATGTATATATTCAGAGAATAGTCTGTCTTCTGTTCTTGTCCTTTCAAAAAGTAGCATCATATAATATTTGATTTTATGTGATTATTTCACTTAGCATTACATCCTGATATTCTATGTCTTGATATAACATTGTTTGTTTATCCATTATCCCTTGATGAACATTTAAGTTTTTCTACTTTTTTGTGTGTGAATAATTATATCAGAACATAGTTGTATATATGTCTCATTGTGTCACTTCTATTTGATCTCTAGAGTATAAATCTAAGAGTAAGATTGCTGGAGCATAAAGTTTTTCAGGGAAGCTCAAACCTGTTTTTGATAACACTCACATGTATCATAACATTTTTAAAAACTAATTTGTGAGAAAGCATACAGAACAAATTTGTTTTCCTTTAACAATTTATTCCACATTTTTTTGTGGAACATTCTTTTCAATCGCCTCATTATAACAGCATTTTTCCCCACTTTATCCCTTGATTTATTCTTTCCCTCCATCCTCGTTTTCTGCTTTCTTAGCTTTGTTTTGGGCAAATGCTGCTCATTTCTTTTCAGATAGTTGAGTATGTATCTAAAGTCTTAAATTAGTATTATATGGAATCTAAGACCAAGATTGCCGGTAATTTTACTGTTAAAAAAAACATTGTGTTAATCACAGGGTTGCACAGTTCGATGATAGGTGAATGTATTAACTTTGTAAGTAAATCAGAATAATATAAAAGAAGAAAAAAACACCAAAAGAACAATGTCATGTTATGTTTTTTTCTCTTGTTCTGTCCTCGATATAATTAGATGAGTGATTTCATTATTACTCTATTGATATTTCCCAAAATTAGTTTTTTACATAGTATTTCCTTACACACCTATTTTACCTCTAATACCCAATTAATATCTAATTAATATTTTCCTACTTGGAATGTTTCTGTGTTATGAGGATTTTTTAGTAACGACTAAATAATTTCTATTTAATTTCCCATTAAGGCATCAAATAAAAGATAATGGATTTTGGGTTTGACATCTTTTCAGTACTGTTTCTGTAATATCAATGACATTTAATAATCAAATGAGATTTATAGGGATGAATGATATTCATTAGAAAAAATATATTAAATAGACAGTATACATACCTACAGAGCACTCTAATTGTCCTTTAAGCCAAGACAGTCTAAGTTTTAGAGCTATTAAACAGAACTGTGTAGAAGATTTATAGATTGTATCCTTGGTGACTCTCATTCAGCTATCAGCAAAAAAAATTGAGTACTATATTGTCTGTTTTCTT